TTTTTTTTTGTGTGGAATATTTTAATTTTTTTTTTCTTAGTAAATTAAAAAAAATATATACTAACATAGGAATTTTGTCAAAGAATCTTGTTAGAAATAGAAATAGAAATACTGCTTTCTATAAACAACGATTCAAATTAGTCAAAGGTGTTCTCAAGAACAAAAACAAAAATTAAATAGTCCTCTGAAACAGTGTTTGCGTGAAAATACTATTATGGGGTGCGTTTCTTGGAAAATTGCTGTTGACATCGTAAAATTAAAGGCAAAATATGTAAAATTTATTAGTGTTGTGCGATGTATATTATCCTTTTGAGGGTTTGCTAATATTTATCGTACAGTAAATTAATGCATACTTCTTATTTTAAAAATAATATATGTTAAAAAATATTTAAAAGCTTGATAGAAAAAGCAACTTTGTTGCAAACAAAATGCCCAGATTTAATTATTATCGAGCACCTTTAAGATTCTCTCGATAAAAAACGTGGTATTTAATATAAAGTAAAAGAAAATGAGGAATGTATTTCAAAAGTGAATGAATGTCTCGAGTAATTTTTTTATTATCTCCAGTTATTTTCCAAAAAATAAAATAAAAGAGTTGAAAAAAGATAAAAGGAATTTATTAATAATATAGTTTGCTTATTTATAAAATGACATTAGTACTAAAACGCAACTAATAACTTTTTCACTAACTTTTTTGCTGTCAAAAATATTTGTCTGTATAAAAAATGACATAATCGTAATAAAAATATAGTAAGTTATGTTTTAGTATCTTTGCTGTATATGATAAAAGTTAATACCGTTGGCATATTTTTCTAGGTTTGTCTCTGGTGGTAAGAAATCATTTATATCATGAATAATATAAATAAAGTTCAAGAACACTACCTTGAATGATTTTTACAATTGTTTTAATCTTGTTTTGACTTGACGACGGTTGTGTCGCAATTCATGATGTAAGCTTGATGTATGTTAGTTGGGAAGCAATATTTGTAGTTTTAAAAGCAATTTGCAGTGATCAATCATATCAAAAGGTTTTTAGAAATCAAAAAATGTGGCGAATGTTGACATGTATATTTATACATATGGCAAATATTTTTTTTTGCGAAGCTAAAGTTGTCTAAAACGTGTACCATCAATTGTACTATGCTAAAGTGTTATACCGTAATAAAAAAAGGAGAGCAACTACCGCGAAGAAGAGACATATGCGAGTAATATCGTATAAATACTGAAATTCTAATTGAATAAGAGAGTTAACAAGACAGAGAATAAATAAAATAAGAGAACATAGATGTTATTTCTTGAATATGAAACCAGGAAGGAACCCAAGTTGTTGCAATGTTGAGGTCTATATATGCTTGTGTGTTATTAACGATAAATTTGCTCAAGATACGTTAAAATATTTTTCAGCGAGTAGATGTAATAGTTATTGGTCGATAGTTTTACATAAAAAGTGAGATCTTTGTTTTAGGTAAAGGTTTTAAGTGAGTTGAATTTCATTGATCTGGCATATGATTGCATTCAATAAGCCGATTGAATAGAATACAGAGTGATGTATTACAAGGCAGGATAGTTTTAGTAGAAATGGAAACATATTATCAGGGACTGGTGATGTAGACTTTAGTTTGCTTATTTGGATGAAAAACTACTGTAAGTAAAGATGGGATTTTCAGGTTGATCTACAATCGCGTTTGAGTTATCATATCTATTTTGATTTTTCAAAACATTGTGATAATTATTGTTTAATTATTTGGCAAGGATTTATGATATTGATGGTTTAATTACAGATTTATCACATTGTTTTATTTCCTTCCGTGGTTGTTGCCTAATAGGTTTGTTGAATTTTTTTTTTTTTGATGATTTATTTATTTTTAATGCAATTTGTTTAATATGCGAACCAACTTATAAAAGTTTTTGACGCAATTTTATTAAACTTTGAATACAAGTTGTGGTCCAAGGTTAGGAGTTAAATGTTGAGATTTTAAGTCGTCTTGAGCAGATAATACTAAATTGTAGAAATTAATGCATGCATATTTGATAACATGATGCAACTCAACTAGGTTTTCAAGGTATTTATAATAAACTGATAAAAATAATAACAAAAATAACATGGTAATGAGAAACCAACATCAAAATAAAAACAAATGGCAGTTAAATTAAATATATAAGTTAATAGCATAACATGATTTGTTTATCAATGTAGTTTTCCCATTCAATGCAGAGTATTACTTTATTTAATTTATGTTTATCCAAAACCTCTAAACATTTATATAGATTTTTGAAATTAATTGATGTATTTCGATTTTTATTTAAACGGAATTGTTTATCAGTTTAATGGTTTTTATTTTATTCTAGTTGTCAAATATCTAGAGATTTGTCAACATTTATTCTTACTGAGTTGGTAATATATATTACCATATTGTACAAATAATCGTCAAAGCTAAACCATTTAGGCCGTGCTGTACTATTCACATGAAGTTAATGATAAGATATGAAGTAAATTTTTATGTTTTCAAAGTTGTAAAATTTATCACCTTACGCAGTATTATTTAAATTGACTTCACCTTTTATAAATTTAATAATAATGCTTCAAATAAATCAGTCTCACTTGCTAAAGCAGACGAATTCGATAAATCTGATCCATAAAAGCATTTAAAAAATGAGTCCTTATAAATATTGTCACAAGAAAATTGGACTTCTGAAACAATTTTTGTAGGAGTTAGCACAATGATCTTGAATAGTATCAAAACCATATACTTTTTCCACCCAACATGTTCTACAAACATATTTTAATGAAGCAGTGTTTTCAATATACTCCTCTAACTTATGTTGCCTGGTAACTGGTAACTGATAGGTAAAATATTAGAAAATATGATACCATTTTAATGTTTGTCAAAAGATTCCTGCTAAATTGCACGTTGGACGAGGTAAAAATAATTAACCTATGGCTGTTGCAATGAGCATATGTAGCTTTTTCATTTAGATCCAAAGTATAAAAAGAAAATTTGTTGTGTAGCCATCCATTTCTGCAGAAGATTATATAAATGTCCTTTCCAGTTGATAACATCTAAAGAAAAATCTGAGACAATTTTTAACAAAGCATAAAATAATCCCTAAATAGTAACTAGTAACACTACTTGTGCAATGTAAAAATCTGATAACTTCTTCTCTTAATTAAGAAATATTAAACTTTGAATCAACAAACTATACAACTAATGATAGATGTTCTTTATTTAATTGTCAAAGGTATTCATTGGCATAAATAGAAAAATGCTTTAAGTTTAAATTTTTTTTATTATTGTGTCAGCAATAACTTGTCCAAAACACTTTACTACGAGACCTGATTTTGTGATATCTTAGGTACGTAAGAAGCATTTTTTTTTAATATATATGCTGATCTTACAATTTATCACTAGTTTTAAAACGGAAATGATGCTAACACGTGATTTTCAAGAAAACTAAATACATTACAAGAGTCAACAAGGAGCTTATCTTTACCAAAGCTGATATTTTTTGTAATATGACATTTATTGTCACACAAAGTTTTTAATTTCATAACAAAGTGATATTTTAAAATAAAACTTTTAACATCTAACATTGAGAGACCTTTTGAATACCAGAAACAAATCTTAAATACTCCAGGGCGTATGTATTTAATAATGAAAATAAATAAATTAAAATTAAATATTAAGTCAAAAAAATATATAGATAAATCATATGAAAAAGTAATGTTGGGACGTCCATTTGTATATTTTATCATCTAAATGTTATTAGAATTAATTTCAACTCCTGATTTTTGCAAAACAAAAGGTTTTAACTAAAATTTTACTTAGCACGTATTACTTTGGAAGAGTCCAAAGTTCCTATTTTAGACGTAAAGAAATTATTTTAAAAGTAAAGAAATTTATGTTTTGATTTTTTAACAAACCAAACAGAAAATTAACAAAATTTTTTATTGTATAGTAAAATAAAATTGGAGACGCCCATGGATCTATCTAGTTATGTATCATTTATTAAATTTTGCTTAAACATCCAGTAAAGAAATATATTTTATTATAAACTTTAAAAACCGCTTAATTATTTTCATATAACCAATTATTATATTTTTAGTTTATTTTTTTTGAAAAACACTAAAACTTTAATCTAATTTATTTTTTTAAGTAAAAAATATTTTTTTAGTTGAAAAATATTTTTGTAGTTGTATGTAGTATTAAAATATTTTTTTTTTATTTTTTTCAAAGTTCAATTTTATTTTTGATATTTTTGATACGTGTAAAGACGTACTAGACGCACACTAGATCTTCTCCTGCACTTTTAAACCAATATAAAACAATTTAAAAATCAGCTATCACTCCTGCACTGGAAGTGATTTTGTAATGATTATGAAAGTGTAATGTTATATTATGGAAATGTAATGATTATGGAAATGTAACGATGTGATTTATACACACTCGCTATTACAAGAGAATGTGTGTAAATCTCATCATTACATACCCAGCAAACATGTAAGCGTTGAATCAACGTTGAAAACCAGTCGCAGCGTAGAAAAAGCGTTACAGTCACAAAAACAACGTGCTTTCAACGTTGAATCAATGTCTGTTTTTGTATACTAAATCGTGGTAAATTGAAACGTTGAATAAGCGTTGATATTGTAACGTAATTTAGCCTCTCAAAATAAAACCTTTATTCAACGTGAAATCAACTTACGCAAAAAGCCACTTTAAAAACGTTTCGAAGTATATTCTTTATCAACGTTAAAAACAAACCGCTTTTTAAACGTTACATTTTCAACGTTGAATAAGTGTATAAATTTAAACGTATCTTATCTTATTAAAAAAATGCGTTAATTAAACGTTGAAAATAAGTACGCAAATAATCACTGTGAAAATGTGGTTAAAACGTTGAAAAAGTGTTACTTTGCCAACGTTAATAAAACGTTGTTTTGACAAAGTTGAGGAAGTGGCTCATTGAAAATTATTGTCTCAATAACTAGCCATTACAAAAAC